ACCTGGGAAAACTGAGGCAAAGGTCCCAGAGTTCCAGAGTGAGGGGTCAAGTCCACAGCCCCTGACTTGAGAGCTATGCTCTTGACCACCTACCTCCATGCTAGAAATCAAAGATGTTGGATTAAAGTGTGAGTTTAGGATCAGGAACCCACCTGCCCACTCCTACAGAGGCCGAGGTGGTCCTGCCATCTGTGCGCTGCTGCAGGTGTCTCTGTGGGCATGACCTGGGGCTGGCATTTGGTGAGACGTCATTCCACATCTGGGGGTCCGTCCTATTGGCCCTAAATATAGAAAAGATATTTATTGTGGCATTATTCATAATAACCTAGTTTGGAAACAGCCCACATACCCATGTTGGGAAGTGCATAAGTCACCTCTGCCTTTTCCATTCAACTGGTCATTGTGCAGACATTAAAAGTAATGCTTCCTTCCTGGCCAACATGGTGACACCCCGTCCCGACTAAAAATACAAAAATTCACCGGGCGTGGTGGTGCATGCCTGTAGTTCCAGCTACTCGGGACGCTGAAGCAGGGGAATCGCTTGATCGCGGGAGGTGGAGGCTGCGGTGAGCTGAGATCACGCCACTGCACTCCAGCCTGATGACAGAATGAGACTCTGTCTTAAAAACAAAAAAAAGGTAATGCCTCCCACTGTCAGTAACAGGGAAAAGCAATGATCATATTATCGTAAGTACAATCAAACCTAATGCAGACACCACCAGGGCATGCGTGCCAGTCTCCTGGGTCGTCCTAGACAGCTGTGTCCACACTTACCACCCTCCCTGGTACATCCTGACAGACAGCAGAGGATGTCTGCCCTGAGCAGCTCCCTGCCCTGCCCCCTGGTTTCTTTCTTGTGTCCGAGTTCCTGACTTCTGACGTCATCTCTTCCCTGCCAATAGCTAATTCTGAAAACGCTCAGACACAGAGAAAGTGGGCCAGGATTGGGAGTTGTGTTAGTTCATTTTGTGTTACTATAGAGGAATACCCGAGGCGGTAAGTTTTTATAAAGGGGTTGACTTGGCTCGCGGTTCTGCAGGCTGTGTAGCTATCCGCTTGGCTTCTGGTGAGGCTGCAGGGAGGGATCAAGAGAGACAGGAGAAGGCGCCAGGCTCTTTAATCCAGGAGTCCCCAACCTCAAGATGGGTCCATGGCCTGTTAGACCACACAGCAGGAGGTGGGCGGCAGGCGAGCGAGCGTTACCGTCTGAGCTCCGCCTCCTGTGAGATCAGCGGTGGCATGAGATTCTCACTGGACTGCGAACCCCACTGTGAACTGCGTGCAAGGGATCTAGGTTGTGTGCTCCTCATGAGAATCAAATGCCTGATGATCTGAGGTGGGACAGTTTCATCTTGAAACCATCCACACCACTCCCTGTCCATGGAAAAACTGGTCCCAGGTGCCAGGAAGGTTGCGGACCACTGCTTTAAACAACTAGCTCTCCCGTGAACCTACAAAGTGAGAATTCACTCATTACTGTGAGGAGGGCACCAAGCCATTCCCGAGGGATCTGCCCCCATGACCCCAATGCCTCCCGCCAGGCCTACTTCCAGCACTGGGGATCACATTTCCACATAAGATCTGGAGGGGACAGACGTCCAAACTACACCAGGAGCTCTAATGCACCCTTCACCTAGGACAGGATTAGCAAGCAATGGCCCACAGGCCACATCCAGCCCACCTCCCATGTTGGTAAATGAAGTGTTTCTTTTTTTTTTTTTTGAGACGGAGTCTTGCTCTGTCGCCCAGGCTGGAGTGCAGTGGTGCGATCTCGGCTCACTGCCAGCTTCGCCTCCCGGGTTCACCCCATTCTCCTGCCTCAGCCTCCCAAGTAGCTGGGACTACAGGCGCCCACCACCGTACCCGGCTAATTGTTTGTATTTTTAGTAGAGATGGGGTTTCACCGTGTTAGCCAAGATGGTCTCGATCTTCTGACCTCGTGATCCGCCCGCCTCAGCCTCCCAAAGTGGTGGGATTACAGGCGTGAGCCCCCACGCCCGGCCTATAAGTAAAGTTTTCTTGGCACAGCCGTGCTCGTTCATTCGTATGCCACTGACAGCTGCTGCTGCCCTACACAGCAGGGTGGGGACCTGCTCTTCACGGGAGAGCTACTTGTTTCAAGCAGTGGTCCCCAACCTTCTGGGGTCCCCTGTGGGTGCTAAGGCATAGGCCGTACGGCTGCAGTGCCAAGAATACTTCCTGTCTGACCCTTCATCAGAAAAGTCTGCCAACCTGTGTTCTGGATTCCCCATGACTGACACTGAGCCAGTCTCCTGTCACTCTCTAGTGGCGTGCACACACCACTGGCGTGAACTGCAGGCATCACGCTCTGCGGCCGGGAGCCTCGGTGTGCGCCTGCAGTAGGAGGGCGTCAGTGAGGACTGCCCTGTCCCTGCGGCGCTGGTGCCGGCTGTGTCTACAGTTGACTGTGCCTGGAGTCTACACTCCAGGTCAGCCAAACGTCCCAGCAAGTCCTTCAAAGCAACTCTTCCAATCCAGGACCACACGTCGCATGTGCTCTGACGTCTGCTTCTGAACAATTTCACCTCCTGAGATGTCCATTTCTGGGAGTGCAACTCTTCCTCTCCTGGTGACAGCTTGGCTGAGGCCATCCAGCCTCAGGGACATACCAGGAACGGCTGCATAAGGAGATCCAGGGCAGGGGGCCCACCAAGATGTTCTGCCCTGTGGGGGTCAACACTGGCCGTGGTCTGCCGGCGGCATCCAGGGAGAGTCTATCCAGGTGAGGCTGAGGCTGCCCGCCCCTCGCTCCCTCACCCCCTTACCCCCTCACCCCCTTGCTGACAGCAGTGGGCTGACCACAGCCCCAGGGAGCCCCACGGGAAGACTGGCCTCCCCAGCACACGCTCAACAGTGTGAGACACAGTCATCACCAAGGCAGGTACACAGCACCACGGGACTTGCCACCTACCTACCCCCACCGGGACCATGGGCCACTGAGAAGCCACGAAGCCCATGCTTCCAGCAGCGACCGTGGCGGCAGCACCATCAGGAGGCCACAGGTGCCACGGCTCCTCTCTGGTGGTTCACCTGCTCACCTGTGCCCAGGGAGACCCCTCCAGTGCGGTCCCGAGAGCAGACCTCCCCCCAGGCAACACGTCTGATGAAGGCCAACACAGCCTCAACCCAAACAAGGCAGGGCCCGCAGGTGAGCACAGCCACACCAGCAATGCCACGGGGGCATGGCGGTGGTGGGGCCTTCTGGGTAGACCAGCCTGGGTCCACAGCCAGCTCACGCACTGAGTGTCACCTGACCTCAGAGAACCCTGCAGCCATCTGGGAGATGCTGCCCTGCAGGTCAGGACCCAGTGCGAGCAGGTGACGGGCTGGGCTCTCAGACCTGCTATATAGAATGTTAACCAGGCCATAGGCAAAGCTAGTGTGGGTGACCATGTGGTTAGTTCTAGACTATTTCTATTTCTGTGGGGAAGTGAGGAGATGCATCGGTCAGTGCAGCCCACGGGCAGTGGGCATGAGAGAGGCTGGGAGCCGGGCAACCTCCTCACGATACTACAAGTGGCAGCACTCAGGACTCCCTGCCATGGAACAGGCTCCTCTGGCCAGGCCAGCAGCGGGAGCAGCTGGGAGAAGAGACACACTTTGCATGTGGAATGTGCTTCCAACGCGTCTGAGTGCGGGGATCGAAGCGTCCTTCTAGTGTGAGGGAGGCCTGCCAAGAGGCACTCTTTCCCAGTGACCCCACGGTGGCCAAGCTGGTATAGGGCCTACACAGACAGGCAGGAATATTACAGCCCTCAGAAAGACTGCGGCAGGAAAAACGTGTTAACCCAGTAAACATTTCCACCCAGACATGACTGCTCTCCATCATCCAGGCAGTGTCCCCAACTCCGTTTCTGAGACTGCTCAATGGACAAGGCCAAGGCCGTCTCCAGCTCGAATCGGGACCCTCCTTCCAGGACAGAATCCCCAAAGACTAGGGCCATGATTAGTGTTTCATGTCTAAACAGCCGAGAACACAGGCGCCAACATTTCCCAATAAAAACCATATTACCTCCTGGTTGACAAAGTCATTTTCTACCCTCTTATAAACCACAGTCCCTAGAGAGCACAGGGTCCTGTCCACAGTGCTCCTGGATGGGCACAAAGCTGGCACAGGCCTGTAGACCTGCCATGGGGTGGGACAGGACTGGTACGGGCATGAAGAAATGGAACTAACCTGAATACTGGGCTGGTCCGTGGGGCTGGGGCCCACCACCAACGTCGGAAGGCCAAGGGGAAGATGCAGGCTGGAATGAAGCTGCTGAGGGCACCCCAGGGGCCCCACCGCGTGGCTGGGCAGGAAGCTCAGCAGGTGGTGGTGTCCAAGGTCCCGAGGAGCCTTTGTCCCGAGTCCATCCAGGTAAGTCAGGCCGCCTCTCTGGGAGCAAGGCTGGGCCAAGAGGGCGCGGGGTGTGGCCCAATTCCGGGGACGGGGTCTGAGCTCAGGGACTGGCGCTCCAGCAGGAGGAGAGAAGCCAGAGAACCAAGCACAGTTCGGGCACAGAGGCCGGGAAGGGACGAGTGGTCCTGGGGCTCGCTGCAGAGCTCGGGGACCCAGAGGGCAGAGTGTCCAGACTGGGGCGTTCAGCGGCAGATGAAAGGCTTAAGCAGAGAGGACATCACAGGCAGGTGGCAGCGGGAAGTGCTCGGCCGCCCGCCACACCAGGAGCCTCTCCTGCTGGGTGCTCTGAGGTGACCCAAACCCGTCCCACGGAGGGCAGTGAACACACCCTGCTCTCTGGTGCTGAACCCCATGAGCCAGCCAGGAACTTGGAAAATGGTCTGTGGCTGCAAGGAGCCTCTGGTGGCTCCTACATTACCGCAGTGTCTTGATCCAAAGAGATTCTCTGCAGTGGAAAGGTCGCTCGCTCGTTTGCACGTTCCCACATCTGACCGGGCTGATTTTCCGGGGGTCCCCAGGGCACAGAACACAGTGCACATGGCCCTGTGTCCCACCAGACGCTGAACACGAGGGAGCCACGGAGCAGGTGGCCGGTGAGGCTCACACTGTAGGGCCTGAGTCCACAGACGGCCCCAGCTCAGGGCTTCTTCCGAGGGTGGCGTTTCCGATGGCGGATGAGACAGGAGCTGTATGCAAAGACTTTCCCACAGTCCGTGCATTCGTAGGGCTTCTCCCCGGTGTGCGTCTTCTGATGTTTCAGGAGATTGGAGCCGCAGTTAAAGGCTTTCCCGCACTCCCCGCATTTGAAGGGCTTCTCTCCCGTGTGAGTCCTCTGGTGTTTAGTGACGTCGGAGCTGTGCCGGAAGGCTTTCCCGCACTGCACACACTGGAAGGGCTTCTCTCCCGTGTGGACCCTCTGATGGCGAATGTGGTCTGTCTTGTGCTTAAACATCCGCCCACACTCACTGCACTCATAGGGTTTCTTCCTCTGAAAAGGAATGAACACGGGAACCCCCTCAAAGTCATCTTTAAATGAAGCGTCGAAGGCATCAAAGATGTGCTCTTCGTCTTCAGGACTCAGGCGGGGCTCTGTGCGGGGTTTCCCGGGCACAGTGGGCCTCTCGGGTGGCTTTCTGTCCCCGGACGCCTTCTCCTCTCTGAGTATGCCCTTCTGCACATCTGCTTCCTCCCTCGGGGTCGGCGTCTTCTTTTTTCTGCCTGCAGGCTTCTCCATCGTTCCGTTCCTTGGAAGCGTGAGGGCTAAGGGGCTGCTGACTTCTCTGTGGACCCCACTTCCTCAAGAACGGCTTGCTTCCCACACATCTCTCCACACTCCCAGCGCGGGACTGATGCTCTGCACCAGGAGGCCAAGGGCCACCATCCTCTTGGTGCTGGGGAGAACAACATGAACCTCAGATTAAAGGTTCGCCTTTCAGGGGCTGTGGGGTTCGGGTGCAGCCCCTCCCTTCCCATGTGTTCCCCCACAAGTGTCTCAAACGGAATTGCTGATCTCCCCGGAGCTCCACCTGACTCACTCTCCCAGCCTTTCCTTGTCTTGGTGAAGGGATCAATTGCTTACCAAAGAATCCTTGCTCCTCTGCCAGGGTTCGGGGTCTGCACACCATGTCCGCAGGATCTGAGGTGCCCACCAACTGCCCTGCGGCTTCCCTCCTCCACCCCCGAATCCCCCTGGTTCCTGCCCTAATCTCCGTCTCCACCACACTGGGCTTGGGACCAGTTACTGTGCTTTGGAGCTACAGGCTGCAGGGGCCACACGTGCCCAGTGGAAGGTGCTTCCACCCCCAGGGCTGGGTTCTGAGCTCCTGAAACCAGGGCTGCCCCCCTGCCATGGACCACAGCAGCCAGCAGACCCCCTCATGTCACATCCTTCCCCCCTCAGCTTCCTGAGTAGCTGGGACTACAGGTGTGCGCCACCATGCCCAGTCATATTCTAAGAAATAATATTCCGGCCGGGCGCAGTGACTCAGGCCTGTAATCCCAGCACTTTGGGAGGCCAAGGCGGGCGGATCACGAGGTCAGGAGATCGAGACCATCCTGGCTAACACGGAGAAACCCAGTCTCTACTAAAAATACAAAAAACTAGCCAGGAGAGGTGGCGGGCGCCTGTAGTCCCAGCTACTTGGGAGGCTGAGGCAGGAGAATGGCGTGAACCTGGAAGGCGGAGCTTGCGGTGAGCTGAGACCCGCCCACTGCACCCCAGCGGGGGAAAAAAAGCGAGCCCCCCTAAAAAAAAAAAAAAAAAAAAAAAGAAATAATATTCCATACCCTTTGTATTAGTTCTTGGTCAACCAGGCTGGAGTTTGAGGCCAGGGTTGAGCCTAGGAAGAAAGTGGAGCTGAGATGCATGTCATAAGTGACATATCTCAACACATAAATACCTTGAATTCTCTTTGTTAAGAGGAGGTTCGTGGTCTTCCCTCCTCTCCCCCACGAGTGCAGGTAACACATAAACTGACTACAGATTTCCTATCTCAACAAGGACAGGATCTGGTCTTTTCTACAGGAAAATGTTTATATGACTCAGTTTCAGGCCAACATCACTTTCTAGGGCTCTATCTAGAGGTGGCGTGTGGGACGAGGCAGATTAGGTGGGCGACAGAACTGAAGATGAAGGCCACATGTGCTGAGGGAGGATGCAGGCATAAAGCAGCATCTCTGCTGGGGTGGGCAGGGGAAGCCCTGGTGCCCAGGACAGAGGATCACAGCCTAAGCTGGCTGGAGTCTGAGGCCAGGATCCAGCTCTGGTAGGAAACAAAGGTGAGAACCAAGAACCAACACTAAAAACCAGTCGACCAGCTGTTTGCCTCATGGGCAGGGCGGAGCTGGAGAAGCAGCAGCTCTCCAGGGGACAGTTAGAAACCTATCTGGCTCTCTGCACACTCCACTCCATGGCGGGGGTGGGGGTTTGTGAACCTGCTGAGCCTGACACCTGCTGCCCGGGGCCTGTGTGGGGGTCCTCCGTGCTGTACAGCACCTGAGGCCTACTGCCCGGGAGGGCCTGTGTGGGGAGTCCTCCCGTGCTGTACAGCACCTGAGGCCCTACTGCCCGGGGCCTGTGTGGGGGTCCTCCGTGCTGTACAGCACCTGGCACTGCTGCCGGGGGGCCTGTGTGGGAGTCCCTCCGTGCTGTACAGCACCTGAGGCCTGCTGCCCGGGGCCTGTGTGGGGGTCCTCCGTGCTGTACAGCACCTGGGGAGCCTGCTGCCTGGGGCCTGTGTGGGGTCCTCTGTGCTGTATAGCACCTCGTGCTGTACAGCACCTGAGGCCTGCTGCCCGGGGCCTGTGTGGGGTCCTCTGTGCTGTATAGCACCTGAGGCCTGCTGCCCGGGGCCTGTGTGGGGGTCCTCCGTGCTGTATAGCACTGTTCCCTCTACCAGACACTTGTTGCTGCACGTGTGGCTGGTCACTGACATGGCAGTCTCCTTATGCGGCAGGGGCTCCTGAAGGTGAGGATCATGTCTTTTTTATCTCCAGATCCTGGTCACATACTGTGCTCAGGGAACATTCTCCATAATGGTCCTGTCGACTCAACTCAGGCTGGCAGGTGCTAACCGGCAGAGACTGGAATGACTTACTTCTCTACACGCTGCCCACTCTGAGAAATAAAACACTTGTTAAAGAACAGAGTGGACTGGCCGGGCTCAGTGGCTCACGCCTGTAATCCCAGCACTTTGGGAGGCCGAGGCAGGCGGATCACAGGTCAGGAGATAGAGACCATCCTGGCCAACATGGTGAAACCCCGTCCCTACTAAAATACAAAAACTGAGCTGGGTGTGGTGGCGCGTGCCTGTAAGCGCGTGCCTGTAGTCCCAGCTACTGGGGAGGCTGAGGGAGGTGAATTGCTTGAACCCAGGAGACAGAAGTTGCAGTGAGCAAAGATCGCGCCAGTGCACTCCCGCCTGGCGACAGAGCAAGACTCCGTCTCAAAACAAACAAAACCCAACCCCCACCCCAGGCACACACACAAAACAAAAACGGAATGGACCGCAGCGATTGTCTAGGCCTCATCTCACAGGCCCGTAGACAGGAGTGATTAGCCAGTTACAGATGGCGCAACCCACGCTTGCCACAGCCCTAAAGGCTGCGGTTCTGGTTATGCCGTGCAACTCCAGCAGAGCCCTGTCGCCTCTCTGGGCGGAGGACCGTTCACCTAAAATATGAAGCTCTGGGTATCCGCAGGCGGTAGGCGCTACCTAGGAAACCTCACTCACCCTGGCGCCTCCCTCCACTACTTTCAGGGATCTGGGTCTCACGGAGAGACTGGAACATTAGTGGGCTTGAGATTCAAGGGCAATCTGCACTAAAACAGCCTGCTGGGTCCACGGCCTGCCAGCTAGCTGTGCCAAGGCCTGAGATGCCACGCATCTGAGCCAGGCGCAGGGACCCGCCAGGGTCTTGTGCGTGCTCCTAAAGGTTCCCCTTTCAACGCCACAGCCCCAGGCCCGCGTGCGGAGCTAGGTCGGCCTCGGGGCCGGCGCCCGGGAGGCGCTCAGAGCCGGGTCTCGCCACCCCCCTGGAGCGCTGGGGCGCGGGGAGGCGGCGGGGCCCATACCAACCCTGCGCGTCCTGGGCCGGAGGCGGCGGGCAGGAGCCCAGTGAGTACCTGGCTAGAGATGAGGGGCGACGAGGACCTCCCGCTGCAGAACGCGGACTCGCCCGGGCCCTACTAGGACTGCTGGAAGGCGGGGTGAGGCGCGCGCCTCTCGCGGGGTTCGGAGGCAGGAAAGTGAAGGCCTCGATGCGGGACCGCCCCGCCGCTCCCCGCCCCTGCCCGCGTCCTGGTCCCCGTCCGGACCCCGTCAGCCGTAGGCACCCGCAGGAAATGCCTGCCCGCTGACCCGCCCCTTCCGGCGGCCGCGCTAGGAGCCGGGGCTGGACTCGGTGGTGGTGAGCGGTGGAGGGCTCGGCCCGAGCGGCTCCACCCCCAGCCGACTCCGCCCCGATCATGCCCCGCCCACTCAGGCTCCACCCCTAACCGCAGTCTCGTCCGCAGGTTCCTCCCCGAACTGACCCCGCCCCTTCACAGTCCTCTATGGCAAGCGCCCTCCCGAAGGCTTCGCCCTAATCAGGTTCCGCCCCGAGCAGGCCCCGCCTCCGGAAGCTCCTTCTCGAGCTGGCTTCTAATCTCATGCCCCGCCCCCTCATGCTCCGCCCTCGTGTCGCGTCCCCGAAAGGCTCACCCCCGAAAGCTCCTCCCAGAGCCGGCTCCCCTCATGCCCCGCCCCAGGCTCCGCCCCATGTCCCGCCCCTGAAAGCCCCGCCCCGAACCAGCACCCTCATGCCCCGCCCCCACCGACCCCGCCCCGCGAGGCCCCGCCCCCACAGCGCGTCCCGGAGCCGACCCAGTCACTTAGGCTGCGCCCACCAGGCTTTCCGGATCCGACGCGCGTGGGCTCCTGGCTCCCGGCCCCCAGCGGGGAGGTCGCGGCCGCGCGCCGGGAGGCTTGTCCCTGAGGCCGCTCCCTTCCCACCCCCAGCCCCAGCTCCGTGGCGTCCACCGCGTGCCTCCACGGGAAGTCGCTACCTGTGCCTTCAGCGCGGAAGGAGAACCGACGCCTCTCCTAGCTGGGCGGGCACCGCCTACACCACCGCTGTCGCCGCGTGCACGCTCGGGCCAGCTGTCTCCCACCCCGCGGCCATTGCGGCTCCTCCCGCCGTAGGCAGCGCTCCGGGATATGCTCCCAGCCGCTGGCTGCATTCACTCCACTTCCTGCCCGTCCAGATCGCACTGCGCCGCCAGGCCCGCCACGTACCGCAAACTGGGTGTCCTAAAACGACATCCGCCTGTTATCTCAAGGCTTCTGTGGGCCAGAAGGCCAGGCTTGGCTGGGTCCTCAGCTCAGGTCAGCCGCTGTGTGCTCATCTGGGGGCTGGACTGGGGAAGGATTGCTTTCCACCTCATGCAATTGCTGGCAGAAGTCGTGTCCTGGTGCTTGTAGGACCGAGGGCCAGTAGGAACTGTTCTCAGCTCCCGGGAGCTGCCTACTGGCCCCTGCTGTGTGGCCAGCTGCGAGGGTGGGCAGTTCACAGGGTAGTCACTTCCCCAGGGTCCGAGGGAGAGCCCCACCCTCAGATGGAGTCCTATGGAACAGAACCTAATTGTGGGTGACATGCCACCCCCTCCGCCCAGTTCTACTCAGATTCAAGTCACAGGTGCCACCTGTAGCCAAGGGAACTATGGGCATGGGGCTGGCGCTGGGGGATCTCCTTAGGATATCCGCAGCATTCTGCCCTCTCCACCCACAACCCTTCCCATTTCCACTTTCTTTATGATTTCCTTATTATATTTATTAATGATCCCACACCCCCATGCAAATCAGCTCTTTGAAGGCAGCCACCTGTGCTTGTTCTGGGTGCCTGGTGTGTGCTGGGCCTCGTGTTGCGTGGACTGAGTGAACGTGGGTGGAGATCTTAGGTGCTGCTGGTGCCGTGGCACCCTAGGAACTGCCTGCCCCCACCCAGCCCTCTGTCCAGCTGCCTCCTGGACTTAGCAAGGTGTTGAAAACCAGGCAGTTCTGCTCCCTCCTCGTCCCACCCCCTTCTCCCATCCTGTTGCTTTTACCTCCCAATGTTTTTGTTTTTGTTTTTGAGCAGCAGCAAGATTTATTGTAAAGAGTGAAAGAACAAAGCTTCCACAGTGTGGAAGGGGAGCCGAACAGGTTGCCCTACCTACCAATGTTTTCAACCGACCCCTCTTGTACAGCCTGCTTCCTCTGTCCTGGCTGGAGCCCCATCTCCTCTCACCAGTACTACTTCTGTGCCCTGCCCTGGGGTCTCCCTGCCTTCATTTGGGCTCCCCTGTCCACCCCTCCTATAGCAGCTGGAGAGGCTGACTTACAGGGCAAACCCACAGTGGCTCTCCCAGCTTCATGTCCGTCCTGCAGGATGAGGTCTGAGTCCCTTAGCAGCCGCAAAGGGGCCTGCACATACTTGCAGGCTGCTCCTCTCACCACCCTTTCCGCTCCCAGGAGACTCAGCAGCAAGTGCTTGCCCTGCCACACACCATCAGCTGCATGCCTCAGCCCTGGGCCTTGAACACCCCTGCTCCGCCTCCGCTGGAAGGACTCTTTCCTGTTTTTTAAGACTCCACCTGTTTAAGCTCCTCTGTGCCAGCCCCAGCCTCACCCCTGCCATCCTCAGGCCAAGGCTGCCTGGGTAGCTGTCCACACAGGTTACATGCTGTACATAACCCTCAGTCAGGGCTTGTCTTTTTCATCTTTGTATTACCAGGGGCTAACACATAGCCCATAGCAGGTGCTTAATTCATATTTATTGAACAATTGATGACTGATGGGGCTGAGAGAATAAGACTGACAATAAGAATGGCAGACTGGGTGCGGTGGCTCATGCCTGTAACCCCTGCACTTCGGGAGGCCAAGGTGGGTGGATTGCTTGAGGTCAGGAGTTCGAGACCAGCCTGGCCAACACGGTGAAAACCCGTCTCTACTAAAAATACAAAAATTAGCTGGGTGTGGTGGTATGTGCCTATAGTTCCAGCTACCTGGGAGGCTGAGGCAGAAAGAATTGCTTAAACCTGGGAGGCAGAGGTTGCAGTAACGCTGAGATCATGCCACCACACTCCAGCTGGGTGACAAAGCGAGACTCTGTCTCAAAAAAAAAAAACAAAAAAAAAAACCAGAGGAAGGAGAAAGGTGTCCTCAAAAGAGACAGTCCCTTGCCTTCTAAATGAGCCTGGTGGCCCCTCCAGTCCCTTTAGGGGCATGGTGGTGTCTGGGCAAGCCCACCAGAGACTCCATGTGGTGCCAACAGCATTGGTATATGATATGTGGGCAGAGACCATTTCCCAGACCCGGAATCTCCCACTGTCACCAGAGCTCCCTCTCCAGCTGCCGTGTAAATATGGAAAGAAGCTCCAAGGGCTGAGGACCCCTTTCCTGCAGAGCTTCCGACAGAGGCAGCCTCTCTGAGGAGGGGCTGGGGGCCCCAGGCTTTGCTGTGTCTGTGCTCCTCATTTCTTTTGCACATCCCTGTTTTGTGCCCTGCCTTCATGTGCAAAGGCTGGAGCTGCCCAGAAGCCTGGGCCTCTTGTTCTGGGTGGCGGGCTGCCTCCCACGGCTGCCTGGGCACCTCTGGGTCACCATCCTGTGTTCTGATGTGGGAGTCCTATTGCTAGTGGGTGGGGGCCCCCGTCTGCTCTGCAGGGACAGCCCCCAGGGAAGAGAACTGAGGACAGGAGACAGGCACTTCAGTCTCTTAGCTTAGAGAGGGACAGAGAACTGCTTTCCTCCTGAGTGGCTTACTGTCTGGCTTGTTGGATTGAATGGTGCCCTTTCACTTTTCCCTATTGCCTGTACAACGGCCTGGGAGCTTTTCTCTTTTCCTTCTCCTCCTCCTCCTCCTCCGCCTTCTCCTCCTCCTCCTCTGTCTCCCCCTCCTTTTCTGCCTCCCCCTCCTCCTCTGCCTCCCCCTCCTCCTCTGCCTCCCCCTCCTTCTCTGCCTCCCCCCCTCTGCCTCCCCCTCCTCCTCCTCTGCCTCCCCCTCCTTCTCTTCCTCTTCCTCCTCCTCCTCTTCCTCCTCCCTCTCCTCCTCTGCCTCCTCCTCCTCTCCCTCCTCCTCCTTCCGTTGTTTTGAAGTCATGCTATTTCAACTTTGTCAGAGCACACACAGCACATATGGTTCTTCCCCTCTCGCCTGCACTTCTCTTTCTATGTTGGGTCTGCCATTCAATGTATCACCCCTGTGGGTCTTATGGCTGAGGTTCTCCCAGCAGCTTGTGGTTGGAGGAAGCCCATTTAGGAGGTTCCTCCTGATGGGCCTATAGTTGCAGGACCCCTGAGCTCTGGCAAGTTTAAAACTGCTCTCCTGGCGCTGTAATTCCTTGAAGGAAATCTTGAACGGCTGCATAGTTCATGGCTTTCTTCCTTCTCTTGAGACTTTTGAAAATGCTGCTTGGTTGTTGCCCTCAGCGTCCCCTCCCTTGGTTGTTGCCCCCTGGGGCCCCTCCCGTGACGATGTTCAGTGTTCCCCAAGGCCCCTCCTGCACGACATTCACGTGCCCTCGGCGTCCCTCCTGCACGACGCCTGCGCCTCGCCGCGCCCTCCTGCATGACGCTCAGTGCCTCGGCCCTCCGCATGACGCTCACATCCCCTCGGCGTCCCTCCAGCACGACGCCTGTGCGCCTCGGCGCCCCTCCAGCACGAAGTTCACATGTCCTCGGCGTCCTCCTGCATGATGTTCAGTGTCCTCGGCGCCCCTCCTGCACGACGCTCACATGTCCTCAAGGCCCTCCTGCATGATGTTCAGTGTCCTCGGCGCTCCTCCTGCACGACGCCCAGTGCTCCCCTGCATCCCCTCCTGCATGATGGGGTAGGAACTGGATCTCATGGGATCTTTAGTGAAGACCAAAGGATGTGAAGATGGAGGATGCCCAGGATGGTGTGGGGGATGGCAGGGCCTAGGGAGTGCCCAGGTCTTCTCTGCCTGGCGGGAGAGCTGCTACCTTGGTTTTCACACCCTTTATGGCATTGATTCCTAAACCTGCTCATAATCAGAATTAGTTTGGAATCCTTTTAAGAAAAAAAAAAAGGGATTTCCAGACATCATCCAAGAGCTGGTCAAACAGAATGCCATTGGGGTTAAGCCTCATAACCTCTAATTTTAGAAGCTTCCCAGTGACTCTGATGACCGGGCCAGCCCTGGGGAGCAGGCACGTGGCCTGGCCTAGAGAGGGGCAGCAGATGGCACAAGCTCTCTGGTGCAGCAGGGCACAGCTCGGGCTGCTCATCTGAAACTCCTAAGAGCTTGGAGAAATGCTGACCAGGCCCCCACCTCTAAGAGATTCCACCGCCGCTGGGGTAGGGGCAGAGGGGCCGGCATCTAACATCGGTGTTTTGAAAAATCACTCCCAGATGGTTCTTGTGTGCGGCCGGGGTCCGGAACCTCTGTTTTGGAGCGCCGGCGAGGCGACTGCGTGAACAAGTGAACCAGTGAGGCTTTTGGATGCAGAACAAGCAAGAGACACAAAAATGTCAGGCCGTTAAGCAGAATCATTCTTCCAAGAAACCTCAGCTCCTTACCTGTGGGCACATTCCTTAATTCTATGTCACACCAATTTAATTGGAAGAATTAACACCTGCCCCTCGGGCTTATAATCTATGACAAGACATTGGTGGTAAATCCATTTATTCTCCAATTACATAATCTTTCCCGTGTTCACCCACTAACGGACTCACTCGGAGGTAACTGATCCCGTGTGGTACAGGCTGGGCAGTAGAAGAAGCTCCCTTCCAGCATAGACCCACTCTGTGCAGAGAGGCTGTAGTTCGTCCAGCTCATCCAAGCTACATTTAAAAGTCCATTCTCAGGATCATTGCAAGGCTTCTTTTTTCTTTCTCTTTTTGAGACAGGGTCTTGCTCTGTCGCCTAGGGTGGAGTGCAGTGGCTCTATATCTGCTCGCTGCAGCTTCAACCTCCCTGGCTCAAGCGATCCTCCTGCCCCAGCCTCCTGAGTTGCTGGGACCACAGGTGTGCACCACCATGCCTGGCTAATTTTTTCAGTTTTTTTTTTTTTTTTTTTTTTTTTTGTAGAGATGGGGCCTTGCTGTGTTGCCCAGGCTGACCTTGAACCCCAGGGCTCAAGCCATTTGCCTGTCTCGGCCTCCCAAAGCATGGAATTACAGGCGTGAGCCACATACCCGGCCAGGGCTTCTTCCTATGCAAATTCTCTGTGTGGATTCTCTGGTGTTGGTAACAGGTTACCTAGACCTGAAGGTTTCCGTGAGTTCATTGCACTCACAGGGTGAATGTTCTCCCCTTGGGATTTCATGGGGTTTCTCTGCAGGATGAATCTCCTTGCGTGGACTGGGGTCTGAGCCCCTCCCAGGGCATTGCCCACCCACCACATCAGGGCTCTTTCCAGGGTGAAGTTTATGATGTTAGGTAAGGCAGGGCAGGCAAGAGGAACAGGCCCCAGGCAGGGCATGAGGGCCCCGCCAGCCTCGGGCTAGCTCTGGGAAGCAGGCTGGCTTGGAGAGCCCCCACTTCTCACTGCCCATTCAGTTGAGCTCCTAGAAGGGGAGGCTGAGGAGCTGGAGCTGGGGTGGGCAGAGTCCTCTCACCCCACCGCTGGTCCACCTAGAGCTGGGGGGCCAAGGAGGCCTCTATCAAGCTGGTCTCCTGGGAAGTCAGAGAGGAGGATGTGAGGGCTGTGGAGCCTGTGGGTCTTGACTAGGAGTGAGGATTCTACTTTAGGGTCATCAGAAGCCAGTTCTGAGGGTCAAATGAAAATGAAAATGGAAAGACACCATTTACAACATCAAAGGCATAAAGTAACTTGGAATTAATCCAACAAAACGTGTGGAGGATCTTCATGGGGAAAATTACACAGTGTTTTTGGGAGACATTAAACAAGACCCAAATAAATGGTGATGAAGCCCGAGCTCATGAGCTGCCTGACTTAGTATTTTTAAAATGTCAGCTCTCAATTGCACCTCACAGATGCAATGCAATTCCCATCAAAATCCTAGCAAGACTTTTGTAAACTTGAAAAGCTAGGCCAGGCGTGGTGGCTCACGTCTGTAATCACAACACTTCGGGAGGCCAAGGCAGAAGGATCACTTGAACCCAGAATTTTGAGAATAGCCTGGGAACACAATGAGATCCTGTCTCTACAAAAAAAAAAGAAAAAATAAATTCGCTGGGCATGGTGGCACGTGCTGTAGTCCCAGCTCCTCAGGAGGCCGAGGCAGGAGGATCGCTTGGGCCTGGGAGGCTGAGGCTGCAGTAACCCATGATTGTGCTGGTACACTCCAGAGTGCGACATTGTCTTAAAAAAAAAAAAAAAGAAAAGAAACTTAAAGGAAAGCTAATTCTAGAACTTACATGGAAACACCAATGGTAAGACACAGCTGAGGAACCAACGGAGAACACTGGAAGAGAGTTTTCTCAAGCAGACACAGCCCTTTGGAAGCAACAGTAACTGGGACAGCGTGGTCTCAGCACAGGAGCAGCCCAGCAGCCCAGAGGAAGAGTGGGCTGCACGCCTGGGCAGACACCTGACTGTGCAGCGGTGGGGAAGTGGGGAAGAGCAGGTTTCTCCATTCGAGGTGCTGGAACAAAGGACATGTGTCCATGCTTTGCTTCACACCAGCAGCAGCCTCCCTCATTCGCGGTTTTGCTTCCTGCAACCCTCGAGCACTGTGGCATGGCCTCAGGGAAGCCTCCTCAGAGACTGAAAGGGGGATGGTGGGCGTGCCATGCTGTCTGCAGCAGAGGGACTGTCCTGGCAGAGGGACAGACAGCAAGTACCACGGCCCATGGCCGTGTTCTCATGCATACAGACATGGCCATGGAGCATCTGTCTGTGAGGACACATAGGAATGTATTTTGGGAGAGTGTTTCTTTTTTTCTTTTTTTTTTTTTTTTTTGAGACGGAGTCTCACTCTGTCGCCCAGGCTGGAGTACAGTGGCGCGATCTCGGCTCACTGCAAGCTCCGCCTCCCGGGTTCACGCCATTCTCCTGCCTTAGCCTCGCGAGTAGCTGGTACTACAGGCGCCCACCACCACGCCCAGCTAATTTTTTGTATTTTTAGTAGAGATGGGGTTTCACCGGGTTAGCCAGGGTGGTCTCGATCTACTGATCTCGTGATCCGCCCGCCTCGGCCTCCCAAAGTGCTGGGATTACAGGCGTGAGCCACCGCGCCCGGCCGGGAGTGTGTTTCTTTACAGCCTTCTGTTTCCCATCTCTCGTCATCTGGCAGCAGCCAGGACCTGGGACACAGAGGCAATTTTTCTTACAGAGCTGTAACAAACAGCAAATGGAAGTGGTCAGCGAAAATGAAATGGTTCTATTTTAAAACCTGAGGCAAAACTCTTGGCCACTCCTCCTATCCAGAGATAGAACCTCACTCGCCTCCTTGAGTATGGCCTGGGCTGAGTGACTCACTTCCACAGACGGAATAAATAAACAGAGGTCCTGACAGAGTGACTTCAGACACACGTACCGAGGGGCTCCATGGCGTCCGACTGCCCTCACCCTCTGGTCACTTGTTCTGGGAGAAGCCGGCCGCCATGTTGTGAGGAAACCCAGAGCCTATGGAGACGCTCGTGTCGTGAGAAACAGCCGCCTGGGGAGCCAGCCCCAGATGACACAGCTCCAGCCGACAGCACGGCTGTAACCCCACGAGGGACCCTGAGCCCGAGGTACCTGCTGAGCTGCTCCTGTGAGCCGGACCCACAGAAGCTTGAGAGAAGCGTTTGCTGTTCCAGCCAGTACATGTTGGGGGAATGGGTTATGTAGCAACAGATAACAAGTGCAAGCTCTGTGGCTGTTTTGCAGTCACACTGGCTTTGGTGAATTGGCCATTTGCATAACTGCCAGGACTATGTTAGTCCTGCACCACGTGCCTCACAGGAGGTGCTGTGTGTGTAATCCTCCCAGCTCAATGTGGTAGGAACCGTGGACATCATCATTTTATAGATGAAGAACCATGGCTCAGAGAGGGCAGGGGACCAGGCTGATTTGCACAGCAAGTGAGCTGTGGAGCCAGCACTTGGCATCAGCCCACCTGGCCCTGGAGAGCAGTGCTGCTTCATGATTCTCCAAGGCAGAGACGTCCTGTGTATGGTGCATGGCCGAGGCCTTGTCCACACCTGTTCTGTGCAGCTGGCAGAGGTTGGAAGGCTTCTGTGCATGACAAAGCACAGGTTGTCCCACCATGTTAGAGAGCTGTGGGTAGGGATGAGTGTGTGGACCCAGGAGCCAGGCTGCCTGTGCTCAGATCCCAGCACTGCCACAGAATTGCCGTCTGGTCTTGGGCAAGGCACTTAGCCTTCCTGTGCCTCAGTTTCCTCATCTGTAGGATGGGAGTGGTGAAGGTCACAGTCATCTCCTCCCAGGGCTCTGAAGAAGTCTGTTCTAAGATTATTTTTGTCATAGCTATTATGCTCCTTGGAATCCTCAGCGGGGGTGAGCTGTGGTCTTAAGCCAACCGAGCTGCAAGGACCTGGGTCCAGGGAGCTGGTGGGGACGATACAAGAGTCCTGTGTCTGTGGGGAAAGCAGACACCTGGCCTCATAGTGCTGAGGCTGCCCACATCACAGTCCAGGGGAGATGGGATCCTGGGTAGAAGAGACCTGGGCCCAGGAAGAGATAGGCCCGTACCATGGTGCCTGGAGGAGGGTGATATGAGTCCACCAGAGATATAAGCAGTGGGGTGCATCACTGTGGAGTGTGGGCAATGGGCAGGGGGTGGCTGGACCAGGGCCCCAGCACCTGAGGGAGATCTGTGTGATCCTGGGGTTTGTGTGTGCCCTTGGGACTGATTTACAGGACAACCCAGCACATGGTTAAGACAGAGCTGCTGTGACCCCGGTGGTCGTGCAGCACTGGCTGGGGGTCCCTCGGGAGTGTGTGACGGTGGACCTAATGGATGCCTGACCTTCACTGCACACTCGTGTGCACCCAGAGCCCTCAGTTGTAACTGCTGTCGTGGCACAGAGGGAGAACTGGAGCAACGTGCCCACCTAAAGTGCACGCCAGGAGCGTGGCAGAGGGAAGCCCAGTCTGTCTGGCCTCGTGGCCCCAGGGTGCCAGGGCAGAGCGTGAAGGGGGGTGGCCACTGGGAGGAGAACCCAGCAGCCGGCGCATGAGATCCACACTGGCTGGGGTCAGTCTCGGCCTTTCGTCCGTCCTCCTGTGTCCACAGCTGGCCCTCCCACAGTGGTACCAGGCACACCCTATCCGCTGGGTGCTGATGAAGCTGATGGCCTGGGCGCCTTTAGGGAACACAGGAGAGGGCACCCAGGTTTTCCCACGCCAGTTGAAACCAGTCAGTTTTCTGTTTTCTGCAGGGTTTGACCAAGGGCTGTGCCAAAACACAATAAAACCAAACCAAACCCAAACCCAAACTATGGCAACGTGGCTGGGCACCGTGGTTCACGCCTGTGATGCCAGCACTTTAGGAGGCCGAGGCGGGAGGATCACTTGCGCTCAGGAGTTTGAGACCATTCTGGGCAACACAGCGAGACTCTGTCTCTACAAAAAACACCGAAAATGTAGCCAGGTGTGGTGGTGCGTGCCTGTGGTCCTAGCTACTTGGGAGGCTGAGGTGGGAGGATGGCTTGAGCCTGAGAGGTCGAGGCGGCAGTGAGTCGAGATCACGCCACTGCACTCCCACCTGGTGGGAAGGTGAGTCCCTGTCTCTGACAAAAAAAAAAAAAAAAAAAAGCAAAACAGCACACAACCAGCTCTGTTCGCACGGAGCTCAATCACCTTGACTTTTCTTCCAAGCCGACTCAGCCTCGAGCTCTCAGTCCCTCGCATTCTGCTCACCCCTGGGTCTCCTGGGCCTAAATCCTGACATGTGAGCAGGGGCCTCCTTCCTTTTTTTTTTTTTTTTTGGAATGGGGGCCTCACTCTGTCCCCCAGGCGGGAGTGCAGTGGCACGATCTCAGCTCACTGCAGCCTCTGCCTCCCGGGTTCAAGCGATCGTCCTGCCTCAGCCTCCCAAGTAGCTGGGATTACAGGTGCGCACCACCACGCCCGGCTAATTTTTTTTTTTTTTTTTTGTATTTTTAGTAGAGATGGGGTTTCACCACGTTGGCCAGGCTGGTCTCGAACTCCTGACCTCACGTCATCCGCTGGCCTTGGCTTCTGAAAGTGCTGGGATTACAGGCATGAGCCACTGCACCCGGCCCAAGGCTATCATTTTGCATAACTGTGGTGCAATATTACACCCTCCTCCGTGGGGAGGCGCATCTGGGAGCCCCTGCGGCCACTCATCGGTTCTCTCCGTTTCCAGAACTGTCACTTCAGAGAGCTGTGCGGAGGAAGTCGTCCTGGAGACGACCTGTTGAGAGGCCACTTTCACTCCGGAGAGTCTCTGTGGCTCCCCCTGGTGGCTGTGCTGTTCAGCGGCGCCTCCTTCCTGTAGCTGGGCTGTCTGCCCTGGTGCCCATGGACCCAGCTGAACCCTTTGCCATTGAAGGACATCTGGGCTGCTTCCCAGGTTTTGGCTAAAACAAGTAAAGCTGCTATGAGCACTCATGAGCAGGTTTTTGTATGAACGTGACTTTCATTTCTCTGGGGCGCATCATGGGGTCGTGGGAGCTGGACGTCTAGTTTGATAAGAAACTACCCAGCTGTCTTCCAGAGCGGCTGCTCCATCGTCCACTCCCAGCAGCAGCATGTAGGTGGCCCAGCTTCTCTGCCTCGCCATCAGCATGTGGGGTGGTCATGGTTAATTAATTTATTTATTTGATTTATTTTTATTTTTTCAGATGGAGTCTCACTCTGTCGCTCAGGCTGGAGTGCAATGGTGGGATCTCGGCTCACTGCAGCCTCCACCTTCTGGGTTCAAGCGATTCTCCTGCTTCAGCCTCCTGAGTAGCTGGGATTACACGCACACACCACCACACCTGGCTGATTTTTGTATTTTTAGTGGAAACGGGGTTTCACCATGCTGGCCAGGCTGGACTCAAACTCCTGACCTCAAGTGATCCTCCTGCTTTGACCTCCCAAAGTACTGGGATTACAGGCGTGAGCCGCCACAGCCAGCAATGGTTTAGTTTTTATTTTAGCCATTCTAATAGGTGTATAATGAGATCTCACTGTGAATTTTTTGTTTGTTTGTTGTTTGTTTAGAAACGGGGTTTGCTTCATGAAAAAAAAAAATTCAGTAAAAGAGGATACTTCTAGTATCCTTTTAAAAATTTAATTTGGAAGCAAATAGTGTTTCATCCCAGCATGTTAAAATTGCAAAGGTCATCTACCCCAGCTTACTATTTGCTAAACACCCATGAGTCACTAGTGGAACACACATTTCCAATGTAAAGGTCTTGATTGATTGGTGAAAACCACTTTGCAACACTAGTGTTGGAAATTACTTCCTTATATTAAGCTGAAATCTACCTCACCGGAGCCTCTGCTCCTAGGTCCTGAGTCTCATATATTTCAGACCTTGTCTTTTCTGCCCCATCTGGCTACTTATCTCCAGTTTTCTCTGCCAGTCTTCCGGTGGCATAGCCCCAAACCCTTTCATTTCATAGTTTGTCACCGCTCTTTTTAGGAGGACTGGGGTGCTCAGAACTTATTGACTGACCCTAGCATTGAGGAACTCTCCTTTTGGCCTGGTCACTATATTTGAAAACTGCTACCTGAAATCATGAGAGCTTTTTTGTTTTAACAGCCATTTTCCATTGTTGATTCATTTTCGTTTTGGTTACAACTGAAATATCTGTCTTTCACATGAAATATCTGTCTTTCACATGAAATATAACTTCTCATTTGCCTGTATTCACAAAGTCTGTTCTAACTACACATTTCATTGGCTTCAAGCTCACGCTTGATGCGGAAGTGAGGGGAGTGCAATACAAATTTGAACAATTGCTTGGATTTTTGCAATAATAGATTGTCAGTTGGGGTCATGTGACTCTCATGTGCTAGAAAATTCTCTGACTTTCAGAATGTAACCCTGGGCACACTGAATGTAACTGTATAAAAATGAACGTGAATTTTTAAAGGTAGTATAATTAAAATTTGTACATTAAAAAAAAGGAAAAGAAAAGAAAAAAGAAACAGGGTTTGCTATGTTGCCCAGTCTGATTTTGAACTTTGAGGCTCAAGTGATCCACCCTCCTCGGCCTCCCAAAGTCCTGGGATTACCTGCGTGGGCCTCGCCGTGGTTTAGTGTCAGAACGCTGAGGGTGCATGGTGTTGGACACTTGTTCCTGTGCGCGTTTGCCTTCTGCCTGTCCTCCTCAGGGAAATAGCTCTTTACGTCGTTTGTCCATGTTGTAAGTGGGTTGTTTTTGTGCTGTTGAATTTTGAGATACATTGTGAATAGATTGTAGATTCCAGTCCATTGTCTGCTATGCAATTTGCAAACATTTTCTCCCAATCTGTGGTTTGTTTTTCCTTCCTCTTCCCTGGGTCTTTTGTGGAGCAGTTTTTATGTCAAGGAGGTCGTCCTCTGCTGGGTTCCTATCCTCCTCCCGTCCATGGGACAGGCTTCCTGCACCACCGCAGCAGCAGTGAAAGGCTCATCCCTGCCGGGTGAGGTCTCTGCTGCCGGAAGTCTGAGTGTCAGGCAGTGCGCCCACCTCCTGACATCTGGAAGCCCCCTGCACTCCATGGTATCCAGCGTGGCATTAGCTGAACCCCCTTCCCCTCCCATCTGTGGACCCTAGAGGGCAGGAGGCCTTGGCCGTGCACTGGTCTGAGGCCAGCCTGAAGGTGCATGACCTGCTTCCATGACAGGAGCTGGGGACGCCTCCCTCCTCGGGAAAGGTCCCGACACAGCCATCTCCTGTCAGGGACCTGGGTGCAGGAGCCATGGCCTCTCCCTGCTTCCTGCAGAGCTGACCCATCCCGGTGACCGTCAGCTTCTGCAGACCTCAGTGGTTTCAGGAAGGTGTCCCTAGGGTCTGTCTGGAGCCAAAGACAGAGGTTCCTTCCTCAGGAACTTCCTGCTTTGGGGACACTGCCTCCTTCTTAGGCGAGTTCCCACAGACTAGAACAAGGAGCCGGACCCCCAGCTATGAATGCCCACGTCCTGTCCTGGGGGACAGGAAATCCCCAGGAAGACATCAGATTAAATCAGATCCCCATGTTTCGTCACCTTCCTCTGGGTGAGTGGAGAAGGAGCAGGTGACCTGGGGGATGGTGCATGGGCACAGGACGTACTTGGTCTGAGCAGTTGACCTGGGAAATGGTGCATGGGCACGGGACACACTCAGTCTGGGCAGGCGACCGGGGGGGACGGGGTGTGGGCACGGGACACACTCGGTCTGGGCAGATGACCCAGGGGGACAGGGCGTGGGCATGGGACACACTCAGTCTGGGCAGGTGACCGAGGGGGATGGGGCATGGGCACAGGACACACTCAGTCTGGAGGCTGCCATGCTGGAGAGGAGGAGCCCTCAGGGTCTGTGTGGAGGAGGGAGGCAGGCCTTTCCAGACCCGTCCAACAGACTCGAGCAGGGTCAGCATGCTGGGCAGGGCCGCCTCCTCTACCCCTGGAGCCAGGCCCAAGTGCCCCTCACTCCAGCTGCAGGTCATGGCTGCCCTGAGCTAGGAGGAAACAGGGTGTTCTCACTGCATTTGCTCCAGGGGCAGGGGCTGGGGCAGGGTCACAGGGGCTGGACGGTGGCCCCAGGGCTGGGTTCTGGGTGGGTAGTGAGCCAGCTGCAGGTAAGGCTTGGTCCCTGGGTGTTTGCTGGCCCCTCCCTATTAAGGGTGCATGGGTGTGGCAGGAGTGTGTGAGGAGCCCAGCCTCGGGCAGACTCCTGTGGGCAAAAGATTATGCAGGTGCCGAGGCAAGAGACTGAAGGCACAAACTGTTTCAATATAATAAAGAAAATAGTTATAATAAGAATAGTCATAATACAAATTAGATATAGAGATGATCATGAACAACTATCAATCATTATTATAAACATTATTAATCATTAGCTTTTCATATTACTCTTTGTTGCATTACTAACATAACCTAGGAATAACCGACGGGTATAGGGTCAGGTGCTGAAGGGACATTGTGAGAAGTGACCTAGAAGGCAAGAGGTGAACCTTCTGTCACGCCGCATAAGGGCCGCTTGAGGGCTCCTTGGTCAAGCGGTAACGCCAGTGTCTGGGGAGGCACCCGTTACTTAGCAGACCGTGAAAGGGAGTCTCCTTTCCTTGGAGGAGTCAGGGAACACTCTGCCCCACCAGCTTCTTGTGGGAGGCTGGATATTATCCAGGCCTGCTCGCATTCACCTGGAGGCCTAAACCCCTCCCTGTGGTGCTGTGCTTCACTGGTCACGCTTCTTGTCCACTTTCATGCTCCTCCCTACTCCTGGTTCCTCTCTGAAGTTCTTAGAAGACATAGTGAAAGTCTTAAAGCCTTTGATCTTATAAGTGCATAGAAGAAAATGCTGACGTATGCCGCCTTCTCTCTCTGCTTCGGCTACCTAAGAGGGAAGGGCCCCCTATCCTGTAATCATGTGACCTGCTTCACCTTGTCAATCACTTAGAAGATCCACCCTCCTTACCCTGCCCCCTTGTCTTGTAAGCGATAAATATCAGCGCGCCCAGTCGTTCGGGGCCACTGATGGTTTCTGCATCTTGATGGCAGTGTTCCTTCCCTCGGCCCGGCTGCTTTCTCTTTATCTCTTTGTCTTGTGTCTTTATTTATTAGAATCTCTAGTCTCCGCACATGGGGAGAACACCCGCAAAGCCCGGTAGGGCTGGACCCTACAGACCCCATGCTGGAGGAGGGTCAGAAACACCGGGGGTAGGGACGAGCAAGGAACCAGAACCCTGCTTGGGAAACAGGCTGCAGTGAGGCAGGGCAGGGGTCGCCACCAAATACCCAGGACACGCCAGGGTGTGGCGGCCGAAGGTCAGAAAGTCTCCACACCAGTCCTGTGAGATGGGCTTGGTTTTTCCCAGTGTCGTGGATGAGAGACCGGAACACAGAGCGGCTAAATGGCCAGCCCGAGACAGCACAGCTGGCAGGCAGCAGGTCCACACTGCAGTCCCAGTGGGATCTCATTCCAGGCCACACGGGTCCCTTTCTCACCTCGGGACCCACAGAGGCCTTGCCCCAGGCTCCAGGCCCCGGAAGTTTCCAGAGAGGGGTGGTCTCTGGGCAGGCCCAAGCCCCTGCAGGTGTCAGGGCTGAGAGATGTGGCCTGGAAGGTCACCAAGGCCTGACCACCAGGCTGCCAAGTCGGGTCAGCAGCAGAGCCCAGCGAGAGCCCAGCTCACCGGGGACTGTGCCCAGACAGCGCTCAGAGCCACAGGGAACAGGAGGCATGGGGGTTTGGGAGCAAGCCAGGAGCAGGGTCGGACGGCAGGAGGGGTGCGCGTCCACTGAGCACCAGCTCCGGGCTCCGAATGCCTCCGAGGGCTCCCTCCGTGATCCCACCCAGGGCCCGCTGGGAAAGGAATCACCCTCTTCATCTACCTGTGCAGGGTGCCACGGCCACCAGGACAGAAAGGGAAGCGGCGGGATCTGAACTCGCCCTCACCCCCACCTCCCTCTCCCACCGGCACCAACGCTGGGCACAGGC